TAACTTAACAAAATTCAGGAGTCATGGAGTTGGTACAGAGGAAGACAAAGAAATATTTAAAATCAAAGAACTTCGATGGTCCATATAGGGTAAATGCAGCCACATAAGATTAAATGGTAAGTAGGTAAGATAACATGGCCAGATCAAGTGACTGTGGAACCAGCAAGCAATGTACCCATCAACAGGGAAGGCTGTGAGCCCCATCACAAAGGGGCAGCTCATTCTGCAGGAGTGTTCATGCTCAGTGTTGGCAGATATTTCAAGACAGGACCCAAATAGGGGTTCTTCTGTGAAAGTTCCTGATGTTTTCAACTGTTCAGGCTAAATAAATTCAATCTCTTATTTGGAAGAGTAGCAGTCTTTCACAAGCTCGGCAGGGAAAACAAATGGCTCCCTCTGGCTAATACTACCCCCTCTCACATACTGACCAACAAAATAACACCTCTGAATCATTCATTTTTACTCAATAGCACTATAATATAAAGAACCGCCATTTCATTTTGATCAGATTTTATTAATTTCAGCTCTACCCATTACTTGCTGTGTGAGTGAAGTCAAGTTAATTAAACTGTCTGAACTTCATACTTTCCCACTTGGAGACTGAAAAAAAAAATCTAGGTCATAGGGTTGCTTTGGAGATTGCTTGAGAAATCATACACCAAGTTGAGAGTCTAAAAGAAGACACCAAGCATATGTGAATCCTTTCCTATCACTCTCATTTTATAAAAACGGCCTATAACTAGCAACACAAAAACAACAAAATAAGCAAAGGATGATATCAATAGATGGCTTAAGAAAACCCAGAAAGTCTGCAAGAAGAGATTGCCATCTAACCTCAGGAATGGCTGTGAAAACTGGGCCTACCACAGACATCAAATTCTTAAGTGGTTTCATCAGCTCTGGGTTAGGGCAGCTGTAGGTGGCAGGGCAGGATTCCTGCCTGTGAATGGGGCCCTGGCACCAAGCCCTTTACTACCACTGAAGCCAATCCTTGCAACACTCTGTGAAGTGCTGGGACATGTACAGGACGCAGAGCCACACTGCAGCAATCCACCGCAACCACACTAAGGAAGGGGGTGGGGTGCAGACTGGGAATGGCCAGCAGGCAGATGAGGAAGCTCCTTAACGAAAACACCAGCCAAATCAGTGCTGAGTGGGTCCCTGTGGCCAAAGAGCACACAAGAGCCTCGGCATAAACAAGGTGACAGGGACTCTTTTACCCTGCTATCCCATCTATCAAGCACTAAATGTGACTGTGCACCTTCAACATGGACAGGAACTATGACTTAAACCCTACCCTATGCAACTGTGCAGGCTGTTCGGAAAATGTTACCTGGTTTTAAACTTCCCAGAATGGATACATCATCATATTCATTTTATATAAGAAAAAGTGGAGGATCAGAAAGCTGGAAAGCAACAGAGGTGAAATGGAATCTGTCTGGTCAAAGAGCCAAATCTTTGCTTCTTATGTGACACTATACATGGCCAGAGGTCAGGAATATTTGTTTAATCAGGCTGGGAAAATGTAATTTTAAAAGGCCAACAAAGTCTTCCATCAGTCCTTTGTGAAGCTCCACCTCCCACCCTCTCTTTCTTTTTCCCGTAACAGGTGCTTTTTGACAGGGTTTTCTGAAATGCTGCGTCCACTTCCACTTCCTCGCCTCACAGCATTACTCAACCCTGTCAACAGGCTTCTGGCCTCAAGCTCCTCCACCACCACACACCACTGGCAGAGATGAACAATGGCCTCCCTGTTACTGAGTCTCATCCAATAGCATTTTGCTGTCCTCTGTCACTTGACTTCCCCATAGGACAAAACTAGTCACAGTTCTTCATTTCATCAAGACTCTACTGAATTTACAGGACATCACACTTTTCTGATAATCCTCCCAGCTCTCTGGCCACCCCGTCAGGCATTCCCCTTTTGCTAGAATTGTGTCATCGGCCCTCTGTTATTTTCACTCCACTGTGCAATTTTACCCTGGACAATCTTATCTGTTCCCACACCTTCTTCGAAAACTTACTTTACGCTAGTCTTGGATTTGAAGACTTCATTTAGATAATTATTTTTTAAAAAAGGAAATTCTCAGAAGCCACCAAAAGAAAATAAAACAAATCCCGAGACTGGATAACAAATTTGATTTCAGAAAATCCAAATATCATGTCTGAACAAATTAAAATCCCAAACCGTCCATATAATTTCAATAAGAATTAAGGAACCTGGGAATATATATGCCCTTCAAAAATACAAATTACCAGTCAGATCTTGTGTTTTACAATTATGGACCCAATTTCAAAGGCAGGGACTCATAAATAAATTATGTAGATCATTAAGCAGTGCCCCCTGGATCCCAAAGGTCAGATTCCCCTGAAACACAATCTGCATTAAGCTGTCATAAATAGAGGATAAAGACTATCTTTATGATTTTTTTTCCTTAGTGTCAAAAACTCATTATAATACAGTGAGATACTAGCCAGTTTTTATATCTCTTCTATTCTGTGCATTTCTTTTCCTTTTTAACTTTTAGGTATAATTTATATGCTATAATTTTCATTCATTTTTAACTGAACAATTCAATGATTTTTAAGTTATTTAAAAATCTGAGGGCCGGGGATTTAGCTCAGCGGTTTGGTGGCCTGCCTTGCAAGCACAAGGACCTGAGTTCATTCCCCGGTAACAAACAAACAAAAAAAATCTGTACAACCACTCACTATCATAATCCAATTTTCATCATCCCAATGAGATCCCTCATTAGCGGGCTGAGGATTTACCCTCAGGGGTTTCGCCACCTGCCTTGCAAGCACAAGAGCTCGAGTTCAATCCCCAGTACCAAAAAATAGGAAAAAGAAAAAAAGATCCCTCATTACCTTTTGTGGTTAATTTTCATTCCTGCCTCCAACCCAAGCAAACAATAATCTGTTTTCTGTCACTACAGATTTGCCTTTTCTGGATACTTCACCTAAATGGAATACACCCCTCCCACCTTTTTTGGTCTGGCTTCTTTTCCCTGCAAAAGTTTTTGAGGTTCAGTGTACTTCATTTCTTTTTATTGCTCTGTGGTATTCCACTGTATGAAAAACTACACTTTACTCACCCACCAGTCTGCACTCAGGTTCATTTTGCCTTGCACTGTCACAAATAATGCTAATATAAACATCGGGGAACACGTTTTTGCATGAGCATATGTCTTCCCTTCTCTGTGGATAGATTCCTAAGCAAAGAGTCACTTGTTTGTACGATAAATTTATGTTTCACTTTTTAAGACACTGTCAAACTGGTTCCGGAGTAGCAGTGTCCTTTTAAATTGTCCCCAGCAATGTCAGAAAGTCTTTACTTCTCCATATCTTTGTCAATACTTGTTATTACCTGTATTTTTTACTTATAGCCATTTGGTAGATGTAAAATAGAAGGGACTCTAAGAGTCCTAATACTACCTATGCTCCAGTAGCAAAACAAAACCCTTCTGAATGCCTGATATTTACCATATACTATACCAACTCAAGCAAAGGCATGGTATCTAAATCCTCAAAAGAGCTGATCTGGGGTGAATAAGAGGGGTTACCTTAAACACACTAACACCCATTTTTTTCTATCTACCCCAAGTCCAGTATTTTAACTGCATGTGTACTAAGAAAGAGGGTCACAGTAACCAAAAAGAACAAAAGTGGCTTTCTGCTTACTACAAAATTTTGCTGACTCCAACATAATAAATACAGAGATGAAAGCCAGAAGTTTTTTTGCACTTTTGGGATTCGGTTACTTGAGGTCTCTCTGCAACAGCATGGTACAAAAGTGACATGACATTAACTTCCCACAAGGTTTCATTTCTTGAGGAACACACGACTTCCCTTCCAACAAATTCTGCCATAAGCATATTTTACTTTAGGGGCTCATGTTATGAAACAGCTCCCAGTACTACTTCTGTCTTTGGACAACACCCACGAGAAGCCGGAAAAAGAGAATGGACCTGGGTGTGGGAAGAGGGGTCAGGGAAATGTGTTACAACGCGCACATCTGATCCCAGCTCGTGTTCATGAAAATGCATCACGCATCTGCAAGTTCAGGAAAGTTAGGGTATTTACCAAAAATCATACACCAGACACTCAAATCCAGTTAAAGGTGTTTTGGGTCAAACTGAGATCAATGAAATATAGTTTTCACAAAGTACAGGAGCTTTAAAATAAATATTTAAATGACATTAAATTCTTAATGGGAATTGATGTGTGGGGAAAGATAACGCAGTCACATAAATTTGAGTCCCGACAGATATTTTATAGGGCTTTCAGCCTAGCTCCAGAAAGGTCATTTGACTTGATTGAAGTCATACAACTAGTTAGAGTACAGGAAGAACTAGAACTTCAGAGATTACAAGGATAGGGTGTTGAATATATCTGCATTTATAAAAGCACTCAAGGTTGATCTTTTCCCAAAAAGGCAACAGTCTCTAACTGCATTCAAGTCCCATCATATATGCATTTAGTTATAAGTGCTCAGATCAAAAACAAAAGCAAAATAAACAAAAAATGAAATAAACCAGGAATGGAAAGACTAAAAAGCTAATATTTCTGAGTGCATTCTTTAAGCCAGTTTCTATGAAGTGCTTTATAGATTATTTCATATAATTCTTATTATAATCCACAGTATTATTGCCATTCCCATTTTAGCAGAAGGACACTGAGCACAGAGATGTTGAGTAACTTGAGGGTCACACAGTGGTAGCTAGATAGTCAGCATATACAGAAATAGTCCACATTTCAGCATGGCAGGCTGAAGGAGGACACCAAACTGGACAGCTCTTCTGTGGCACATGGTTCATAGCCAGAGTATATGTTTTCTGATTATCAACAGATGACACATGCAAAATTCTTAACTGTTTGGGTTTTTCTCTTTTTCCTTTGTAGAAATCAAACCAGGATTAACCCATGCTGAACCCATGCCTCAGTCATCCCCGAGTGTTTCCTGACATGCATTTTTGCGTACGGAGCATCATAACTAAAGAATGGGGCTCAACTTGACACTTGCAAAGTTACCAAGTAAGCCATAGCGAAAGAAACAAAGAAAATCTTTATCAATGATTTATTTACACTACATGACAATCTGTCTGTTTTATGGTCACAGAAAAAAAAACAAAAAACAACTGCTTTTGACCTTGTTTTTCATTAAGTGTAAAACGCAAATATGAAGCCAGGCATGGTGGTACACACCTATAATCTTACTCAGGAAGCTGAGGCAGGAGGATCTTCATGAATTCAAGGCAGCCTGGGTTACACAGTGAGTTCAAGACTAGCCTGAACTATATAACAAGACCCTGCCTCAAAAACAAACAAACAAAGCTAATATGAAGGATGGCAACTGAGGTTTTTAAACTTTATTTCATCTAGCCATCATCTCCTCTCTAAAATGACAGGATTAAATTATAACACTGGACAAGATTTTCAAACTCAAAGTAAAACACATATTACTTTCAAGAGTCAATAGTCTAAGCCAAGGTTCACTGAGACCAAAGGGGACAAAAGACATCTACCTGCTCTACTGGGTAACTACTGAGAAAATGATCATATGATCATGGTAGTGACACCCTGTAATTTGTATGACTTTATATTTCATTCCCACTTGGCAGGTAGAGCAGTGACATAAGTTGATGCTTTCACATTCTGTGCCAGGAAGAGACGTGCCCAGTGAGCAATGAGGTACAGTAGCTTCACCGATGGTAAAAGTGCCAACACTCTTCACCACTCCTACCACTCACAGCATGGCTATATGAAGACAAACTGTAACAAGCACATTGCATTTTACAGTAAATAGTCCCTACCAAGTACTAGTGATCCAGCACTATGATCCAAAGCACTGTGATCCAACAAAATATCTATTTTGCATTCCATTTCATGAAGATATTAAGTGAGTAAACAAGCATATTATCCAGTCCCTTTTATAAAGATAGTAAGTGGCTAAATCAGCATTATTATACAGGACTTTCTGCAATGAAGGAAAGTCTCCCTATTTGCATTGCTCAACACAATAGCTATATGCAACGAGAGAGATATTTGAATACGGCTACTCCAAGAGAGAAGGTAAATTTTTTGTGCTTAATCGTAATGTAATTTCTAAAAATCGGATGTAGCTGGGGCTATATCTGGCTATGAAGCCCGTGCATTTTTTCAAAAGACACATGAGCTCACACAGGAACACATACACACTTCCTCTATGTAAATAGCCGAGGCCCCCAACCCACCACCCACACACAATATTACCCTCATATGTGACACAAAATAATTTATCATGGAATTAGAGTTCTATGTTTCATTGTAATTGATCATTTTTTTCTCTTATTGAGTTTATTGGTACATTTTAGGTATACAGTACAGTTACACTCATTATTGGGATCTTGTACCTTTACATGAGAGGTGGTCTTGGTTCTTGTAATTGATAACTCAAAAGGAGTTGACAAAAGCTGAGGGGAGAATAACAAAGGAGTTTTTATTCTTTAAACTGTCATTCTGTATTAAATACTGAGGAATGCCATCATAACAAAAAATATGTGAGAAAACAGCCTACATGTAGTAAAAACAGCTTCTTCTTAATTGAATGCCAAGTTATCATCATTAAAAACATCCCCAAGTTAGCCAAGTTCTTTACTTGTGAAGAACATGGCAAAACTACCCAGTTGAGAAAAGCCACTAAACATTTAATAACTGGTGTTCCTGAGTGGAACACTGACCAGAAATGATTCTGAGTGTGCCCAAAAGTTCTGAAAAGTGCGGGCCCACTTGGGGCCATAATGAAGAAGAAATGTTGAGAGTAGCTGGCCAGAAAACAGAAAAAAAAAAAAAGGATGTGACATAGACCCGATCCTAAAAATAAAGCAATCATGTAAAACTCTCCGCATGAAGTCTTGAGCCATTCAGAGCATCACAAAAGTGGCTCATCATGCTCCTTAGGAACCACTTTTTTTCTCTCCTACCACACTATTTCACAAAACAATTCATAATAGGCTTTAGCCGCTAATTTGTTTCAGCTATACTGAAAATGAAGTATATTCACCATGCCTAGGCTTATCCCATTTAATGTAAGAAGTTATTCCCAGATGCTAATCCCAGACATAAACTAAGGAAGCAAGTACTGTGAGGTAACACCATCACCAGACCGTCCACAGCCACGAAACAGTTCATAACCACTACGGGATAAAGCCACTCATGCTGGTATATTTTATATACAAGACAGAATCTGTATATAGCCTTCTTTTGACATTCTGACTTAAGCCTCTATTTTAATAACAATCATAATTGCTAGGTAAATTATCACTTTGTAAGAGTGCTGGATCATATAATTAACATTGAAGTATTACAGTCACATACTGTACAGACACATTCCCTACGGAATACTGAAATGGAAGGATGAGTTCTTCTGTCCCACAAGAATATGCACACAGATCCAGGGAGTCAAGAGTTGCAATACATCGTGTCTAGTACACTGCACCTGGTGAGCTATTTCACTTGCATTTACAATGGCTTTGAACATCAACGCACAAATACTGTCACTGTTTCAAGGCTCTGTCATCATTTCAGGAGATGATGGAACTTCTCCTTTTCAAGCTGTGTTTGTCAGATGAAACACTTTATTCTAAGTAAAGCTTACCTGTTCTCTACTTCCAAGGGGGTCTATTCTGAGTAAAATGCAAGTGACTGCTAATAGTTTAACTAGATAAATTCAAGCAGTTATCTAAACTTGGTTAAAGCTGTACTTCTTAGGAAGCTTGTTATAGTTTTGATACTTATTTGGATCTTCTAGAACAGAAATAGCCAAGACTACAACACATACTAAAGCAAAAGGCTTAACTAACACCATGCAAGCCAAAACTGGCAGCAGTAATACAGATGATGGCTGAATCATGCATTTTAAGCTTATAAAGCTTAGTAATACGACATACGCCTTAACAGTCTTGTCCAGGTATAAATCAGTCATATGTAAGGATATTTAGACCAAGAAAAAGAAGTTTTCAAAAACACAGAATGGAATAAAAGGAAAAGAATTAGAAAGAAGACAAGGTTACTCAGGAAGAATCTGGATTTACACATCAGGCAGCAATTAAAGAATCTGGTTTTAAATTATCATCAAAACTATCTAACCTGTTCTATTTCTTCAAAGAAAATTACAAAGATGTATAGTAAATTTCTTGTCATGTATGGGAATGGCTAAATTATTAACAAGAAGTAAAAATTCAGAAATGACCTTCCTTTAAACTTTATTTCTGAAAGAGGAATGTGTAAATTAAGTTCGGGTCCTTCCCCCCAAAAAACAGAGGACAAAAGTGATTCATGGTCAAGATGGGAGGAATTGCTTTCAAGGAGACAATGGGGAAAAGCAGGGAGAG